ATAGGGTGACACCTGGATGTTTATTAAATGTAAATGTTGCTTATACTCCTCATCTTCTCAGTCCCACCTTTTCTTTTTGATTTTACAGTTATTATTTATTTCACATAAGTACAATTATACTGTATTTATCTTTGCTGCTACTAGTTGCCATCATAACCCAATGTGGGAGGGGGGGTTCTCCCCCAGAACATTTTGAATGAAGTAGGTGCTGTTTCCTGCATTCTGGTTTGCATGTTGTTAAACATATTTTAAACTACATAAATAAACACTTTCATAACTATTTTAGAGACAGATTCTACATTCAACTCAATATATGAATCATCCTTTTTGTGTCACATTGGACATTTGATTCTTTGGTAGGAAGTAGAGTTTTAAAAGGGTTAAAAACGGCAGCCAGCCTTCTCTTTASAGACAGTAGTAGGCTTTGTCAAGAGAACAAAAAAAGTTTCTTCTGTTGCTCCTAGATAGATTAATATATATATTTGTTTTATTTTACTGTCACAGCTCTAACCCTCCTTTCTATTGGGACTGGCAAAGGGATCTATTTTAACCATATAAATGTTTTATTAACATCCCATCATGGATCAGTCAGCATCAAGTCTGGATGGGATGGATATCTACCTGCAGCAGGGAGAGAGACGCAGCGTGAAGAAGCCTCCTGTCGGTGCTCTGGGACCGGGGAGGAGGAGCTCTCAGGAGCACAGTGGAGAAATGTGTTCACGGCAGAGTCTCTATAAGTCTCAATAACACCAGAAAGAGAGTCGCTAGATTTTCATTAGTCACTTTTCTGAACAGTCTCTAGAGGGTCTGAAAAATCTGTAAATATGGCGAGAAAGTCGCTAAATCAGCACCGCTGTGCTCCACAACCCGTCGCCTCTCATGTCAGCGAGCAGCGTGTCGGGTCGATTACGTCATACTCTGAAGCGGTCAAATTATCGTACATTATGGGATTTTTGGGATTATTGATCGTACATCGTACAGAGGGCCAAATTATCGTACAAATACGATAATTATCGTACACCTGGCAACACTGATCAGCATATTATAATCCGCTGTAAAAAAAAAAAGAAAAGAAAAAAATCTGTTGTTCCGGTTTTTCTTTTCGTGAAATGCAATTGGCCACAAGCTGTGTTCGTCACAAAGGTAACCAATCACATGCGTAGCTTATAGCCTACGTCACACTCGTTAACTCTCGGTAGCGGAGCGCGCGCTTCCATCACTTTACTTTCATTTCAAGCAGAACCAGACAAAAGAAGAAGATGCAATGGAGACCATTGAGGAAACGCAAGGAGAGAAACCAGCACACCCATGGCCACATCTCAGTTCAATGTTCGAGGTTTTAGGACTTAAAAATAATACGTATCAGTTCAAATGTCTTCTCTGTTTACCACGGGTTTACCAAGTATTCCACAACTCACCATCTAACCTGAGAAAGCTCATTGAGGTAAGTCAGCAAACATTTTTCTCACTAGTTTAAAC